TGTGTGTGTAGAAAAACATTAACATAGTAACAGTAATTTGTTAGATTTGCTTGATGGAATTATTAAACTCTTTAATTTGCAAGTATAGTTTGTATTTTTAAAAAATTATTTTAAGTATACTTTGACCTTAAAAAAAAGGAGCTCTGGTGGTGTAGTGCCTAAGGCATTTGACTGCTAACCAGAAGGCTGGCAGTTCAAATCCATCAGCCACTCTTCAGAAGGAAGGTTGGGCAATCTACTTCTGTAGTGGTACCGCTAAGGAGGGGTTGCTGTGAGTCGGATCTGACTCCATGGCAGTGAGTTTGGTTTTTTTTGGTTTGACCTTTTAAAAGCCCATAAAGCCTGATCGGAAGGGACTGAGGGCATACAACCCTTGTTAACGCAGGCCTCCCCTATCCCCCGCACTGAACGTCCTGGAGCAGTGCTGGATGTGAGCGGGCCCCTGGGGAAGGCCATGCTTACCTGCTGCGTCTCCTGCCTGCTGGCTGTGTGCTGCTGCTCCTGGCTTCCCTCAGGCCCGAGGCACTGCAGCTTCCTGCTCTCCTACCCAGCTCGCTCACCTGCTGAGTTCTGTGCCTAGCCGTCGCCACACTGCTTCCTTCACAGCTCACACTGGGAACTTAGGAGACACTCAGGCAGGATTCATTTCTTACATTAAGTACCTAGTGGCTGTGAGATGTCTTTATCATGTGTTTTAATCTATCAAAATGATCTCACGTTTGTTTTTGTTCTTTTGGTTTTGGTTAAAAAGGTTACTGGTAATGAAGTGGCAATCCTGTCACTCAGTATGAGAGCTCAATCCTTTCATGACCCAGTTCCCTACTGCTTTGAATTTTTTGTTGCTCCCGTGTGTTTTCACTGACGGAAGGCATGCTGGATCAAGGAGCATCTCTGAAATCTTGTCATGAAAGTAGATTTTGATGCGTATTATGTGGGACATGTCCCCCTGGACTCTAGGGTTTGGATTATATGGGACATATGAGCCCTGCTGGATTCTAGGGTAGGATTGTGTGGGACGTCTATGTTACTCTGGACTCAGCACTGCCTCCTAATCCTCTGACAAGTACATATAACTCAGGAGCCTGAAAATGCTGTGTTTGTGCCAACATGGGATCATCATGAGAAAGGCAACTTCCAGATAATGTGCAGGAAGCCGGAACGATCTTCGAAAGCTTACCTCCCAGTAACAAAGGCAGAAGAGGTGGGAGGTTGTACAGTCACACCTCCAGGATGCACCACCCTACCTATTACCTTGTAATAGCAGTCATTTGTCATACACGCTACTCCTGACAGTTACAGGTCCCCTCCTTGCAGCTGCACTGGCGGTGGAAATGTCGCTGCCTAGTAAACCCCAGAGGAGGACACGAGGTGGGCACTCTGTGTCCCGAAGGTCACGAGAGGATTCATTCCCAAGTAGCTTAAGTGAAATGTCTGGTTTTTCAGCCCAAGAGTGATGAGCCTGCCCCAGCTGCTGATGTGGCTCCTAATCTCAATGGAGAGGAAGTGGTGAGACTCCTTGGCATATTTGAATCTCGGCTGTCATTCCTTCTCCTTCAATCCATCAAACTACTCTCTTCAACTAAAAAGAAAACAAGGTAAATTAAATTCTGTTCTTTGTAGAAATTTCCTTCCCAGCACCTTTCCTGTGCTGTAACCGCCACTGGCACTGACCAGGACAGGTCGTGTTCTTTCCTGTGTGTCATGTGCATGGTCTCCACCTGGAGAGTCAAGCAGGTGAGTCAACTCCAGGCAGCCTGCTGTAGGCTGGCAGCGTGGAGACTGTGCTGCCTGCGGGCGGACCCCTGGGGTTGTGGTCTCCACCCTGCGAGAGGTGGGTGACCCTGGCAGAGACCCTAGATGTTTTAGGGACATTCTGAACACTGTGATGGGGAGTCAGGACTGCAGTTTGACACGCGGGGCCGAGTCAGTGCAGAGAGGAGCTGCAGCCTCAGAGCCCACGGGGCCTGCTGAGGGTCACAGCAGGGCGGGCGCCACAGAGACGTCCTTACTGGCTTACGTCACCTGTGCAGATAGGTTGTGGGCTTGCACTAGGTGCTTTGGTGCTGTTAATTTAACGTGGACTTCCAGCGTGCTGGATCGGGAGAGTGCTGTCGATAATAGGTGTTTTTAAAGAATGGAAGCTCAGAGGCCGAATGACAAAGTCTGGAAACTAGAGGAAAGGAAAAGACCACTGCCCTGACCCCCCAATGCTGGCGTCATTCCCAGTCATCCTGTACCTGCCCACGAGCTGATCATCTCTAGAGAACGGATAGTGCCTCACACAGCAGAACACTTGTACGTAGCACCCGATGTTCCCTCTTGGCCTTTGAGGGGTTGCTGAGACCACTGGGGTTCTCCCAGCCCCAGGTATTTTTGTTTCTGATCTGTGATTGCTTGAATCGAGTGTAACTCTGTCCAGCCTAATGAGAGCTTTTATTAGGTGCGTGTCGGGGTGGCACTAAGAATATATTTAGGTGCTGTGCCGTCTCATTCAGCCTGGGGTCTGTCACACATCCTGTTACTGGTACACAGGCCTTAGCACATGCCGATCTCTCTGGATAGTCCAAAGGCAAAGGGCACAGTGGTGCAAGGACACCCAATTGAACATAAGAGTGGGGGGTCCATTTTACAGAACAGTGTTGGCTTCCACAGGATGGCAATGTAAACACGTGGTATGTGAGAAACAAATTCATCTGTTTCCATAAATTGGCCATTGAGGTCATTGGCTAACAGCTGATAGTTCCAGTCCTGCACTCTCTTTCAATAATCGAACAGTCGTATATATAAGCTAGTAGTTATTTTACTGGAGGGACCTCTACCCCTCTGTTGATTCAAGTTTTCATGTTCTGTGGGGAAAGTATTTGGTCTGAAATACTTACTTTATGGATCTTATTACATAAAATCCTAGTAAGGTAGTTTGTGTTGATTTTTCAAGGTGTTTAAACAACAGACTGTAAATGTGATACTTGTGCTAACACATTGTTTACAGGTTTCCAAACACAGACAGTTAGTGGTTCTGAAGTCAGTGACTTCCCCTCTCACTGATAAGCAAACAGAACATCTGTAGCTGTGAGGCAGCATCTTGCCACTGTCTTGCCAGAAACAGCATGGGGTCTGGGAGGTCGGGTGTCTCTGGATGAAGACTCTGGCTGCCCTTGTTTCAGTTGTCAGTGCTCTAGTAGATTGGAGCCTCTTGACCTGTTGGTGACTTTGGGTTGAATGTAACAAAAAACTGTGAAGAACAGAAGTAATCTGTGAAGTGAGGGAGCCTGCCTTGGTGCAGAGAACAAATCCTGTAGATTTATGGGTCCTTCCAGGCTGGATGTGTACATTTAATGTTTGGTTAAGATTAGCAAGAAGGAAAATAAAAGACTAAATTAGTTACCTCTGGAGTAAACAGCCCCGTGAACTGATGGGCCCTTCTGAGTAGGGCTCATCGTTCTGAGAACTATCACTGAGAGCTGCTTAAGGAAGGCAGTGACTGGGGGAGATGGACAGCTGGAGATTCAGGCTTCAGAGTGCACAGGTGCACGTGGCCGGTTCACGGTGCATGGCCCCAGCTGCCGTAAATTTGTGTTAGGCACCCACTCCACTGAAATGACGGTGTGACATCATTGTCTGTAGAGAAGAGATCCTATTTTGAACACCTGATTTTTAAGGGCTGTTGTATTGATTACTATGAAATGGTAATTTAAATGTTTATAAAATGATCAAAGTTAACGGAACAGGGCCGCTCCTGCCCAGCTGTAGGCAGTGAATGCACATGTCCAGTCCCAGTGACTGTGCTGTGGGTGGAACTGAAGGGGCAGAGAGGGGTCCGTCTGCCAAGAGAAGTGAGAATTAGACAGAAGTGGGTCTCGACAGGTGTGTGTGCTGGGCAGGACTGCCAGAGGGCGGAAAGGGCGATTTGAGCCCAGAGGGAAGGGATTCCAATAGCCGGAGCCTAGGGTGGGCAAGCAGGAGGTTCTAGGCTGCCCTTGGCTCTCTGCTAGGCCTGCTGACAGGCACTCCAGGAAAGGAAGGAAACGGGTCACAAGAGAGGGTACAGAACGTAGCCTTGGGAGTCAGAAAACATGCCTTTTGCCCTTGATCCAAACTGTATAATCCTTCTGGGCCTTAGGAGCCCCCCTGGTGCAGTGGCTAGTGCTCAGCTGTGAGCCAGAACACTAGCAGTTTGAACCCACAAGCCGCTTCACAGGAGAAAGATGTGGCATAAAGATTACAGCCTTGGAAGCCCTAATGGAGTGGTTCTGCTCTGTCCTCTAGGGTCAGTACGAGTTGGAATCAACTCAACGGGAGCGGGTTTGGATCTGGACCTTAGTTTTTGTATCTGTGAAATAAACATATTAGTCCTTGCCCTTCTCGGGTGACAGGCTCTGGGAGGCTCAGCTGTGGCCGTGCACACTGGACCTGTTGGCTGTCACCTGGTATGCGTGGCCAGTGCTCCCATGTCCAGATTCATTACAAAAGTGGACACTAGAGTTGAGCTACCATGCAGTTATGGATGTCTTTTCGAGAAGTAACAAAAACAGAATCTGCTGACCTGTCCTAAGGGTTAATCTTTTCAGAACAAACAGCAGACTAAGGAAGCCCTTGGTAAAACAGTGTTTAATGGACACAGTTTGTCCGCAAGTGGTGCTGACGTTGGAGTACATTTGGGTGCGAGAATCCCTGTAGTCAGGAGTGTGTGGGAGTGCTGGGTAGTTCTGACTGTCCATGAAGCAGCCCCAAGGTGCTCTGGAAGCGGGCAGCTTGCTCCCACTGTGAGGGCCGCAGGGTGGGGCCTACACCAGGGCAGATGCTGCCGCACAGCTCCCCCGGGACCACCCCTGGCAGCACTCTGGGTTCGCGGTGTCCACCCTCGGGCCCTCGGGCTTGTTAATTGCTGGTTGTACGTGGTGCCCCCTCCCTACTGCTCCCAGTTCAAGAGAATGTGCACTCCACGACCGAGGGTGAAGAGTGACCGCTGGCTTATTCCTGTTTGTGTTGGGTCTCTTTCTGTACTGTTGGTGGGCATCACCAGCTGACCAGTTCTGTCATCTGGCTTCGTTTTGAACCCCCACAGTAACGTGGAAGATGATGTCGTCCTCAGAGCCCACAAGCAGGTTTACTCCCAGCTTCTGAGAGCGACAGCGAACAGAGATGCGACTCTCTCGGAGAGGACCGGCGTCGTGGTCCGCTTGCTGGACCAGCTTGCCCGCAGCGGCGGGAGCTTCGGCGGCATGGCTCAGTGAGGTGGCTCTGCTGCCGCGGACGTGCAGTCAGTGCCTTCTGAACTCAGGCGCCGGCTCGTCCACTTGGTGCTTCGTTTCACTAAATGGGAGGGGACTACCTGTTCCAGGCAGGTACAGCAGCAGACACCCATTACTGTTTCCCAGGCAGACGGTTCTGGTCTGGTTCTTTGGGTGCTTTTCATGAAATGCTACAGTCAGAATCAACTCTGCCGCTCCCTGCACAGATGTCTCTGAAGCACGCGGTCTCTGCACTCACAGACCGGCTGTGACGCAGTCTCATTCTACCTGTTTCTGAGGTGTGGTGAGCTGGGTGGGTTTCAGGTGGGATTATTTTGGATGAAATGTTACTTTGGCCACAGGGACTTCTATCCAGATGGGTTTACTGATGCGAGTGGAAAAAAGACACTTCCTGTGCGCATGCACAGTCCTCTTCTTGTTCACACATCACAGAACGGGGTCCTTTTGGAGCTCAGCACGGGAGTGTCAAAGACTGGCCATTGTACCTTTTTCTGTACTTAGCATATGTTCTGAAGGGAGTAGCTTTTCTTTGACTTTGTATGACAGTTGATCAAGAATAATAGGTACTATCCCTTTTTTCCTTTTTAAACTAAAAACTGTGAATAAGGTAAGAAAGCTATTTTGAATAAATAAACTATTTATTTAAAGTGTCTTTGTATTTTTCCATGTCACGTTCTTTACATTGGGTTTCAAAGGAAAGATCAAAACGTTTGAAGTACAGTTCTGCTATCCATGAGATCCTCGCTGGACCGTCCCACCCCCTCCTTTCCTTCCTCCCTCCCTCCCTCCACTCCTCCCTGCAGCCAGTGGCTCTGGCCCTGCTCACCGTCGACAGGTCCAGGCCGCACTGGCCCTGTTGTCATTTTGGAAGATCACACCTCTTGTGTGCCATCAGTCAACAGCTGGTGTGCACAACTCTGTGGGTAGGCAGGAGCTTGCACTGCCTTCAGGTGTTTTTTGACTTGCTTGCAGGCTGGCCAGCCCGTCCAGCTGTGGCCTCACGTCACCGTTGCGCCTCCACCTCACAGGCGGCCGGCCGTCTGCTCACCAGCCAGGCTTCCTTGAGGGAACTGGCACCGCACTGGAGAGCAGTCAGGCACAGACTTGGCTTTCAGCGGGGCTTGTGCACACCGCTTCCTCTCTGACAACTGCTGGAGCGTTAGCATCTGCCCTAGCAGGGCAGGAGCGTCCTGCCGTTTGTCTCCTTCCTGGTCATCTGTTTAGTCCAGTGCCCACGGCAGAGCTGTGTCCGGTCACAGACGCTGGCGCCGCAGCCTTCAGGCTCTGCTTCGCTGGGAAGCAGCTGTCCGCCGGCAGTGGCTCGCGCTCGGGGCTGCTGATGAGCTGCACACGGGAGCCCCGGGGCCCGTACCACTGCCGCGCTTTCAGGCTTAATTAATTCAGAAGGCCCTGCACACAGGCCGAAGAGCAGGAGTCGGTGTCAAGGCTGGTTGGTGGCAGGGCCGTTTGTCTTCTGGTCTCCAGCTAAACAGCCTTTCAGTCAAGGGGGGATTTGTTTTTAAACCAGCTACCGCCCCTTGGCAAAGCACTGATGTGAAGGTCTTTTTCAAATTTGTAGTTTGCTAATTTAAATTTAAATTTGAGCTTCTTAAAATTTATCTGTGGTTTAGCAGTTCCTTTAGGAGAAATGCTGTATTGGTGGCCTGACCTTGGCCGCTACGGAGCTTCTTTGGTTAATTCTGTTCCTACAGTCTCCCCTCGTCAGTACCTCTGACACTGGTTTTCTGGTTTATTTTTATTTGTGTTAAGGAGCAGTGGTAGCCAAACAATGTGAACGTTAAAGGGACACCATGCAATGCCAGGTGCCTAGACCTGGGAGAGGGAAACCTCCCAGCCTCCGGGGCCTCCACAAGCTGTCATGTGGGTGTGTCCTGCTTTGTAGGCAGCCAGGAACAGCGCAGGTCCGTGCCATACACCACGCAGGCACGGAGTGCTCCGAGTCAGGAGGTGATGTTCACGCTCTGCACCAGGTCTGACTTCGGGCAGGACGCGGGTGAGTGTAGTGTCTTTAACTAGAAAGAGGCGCAGTGGCCTCTGTCCTGGCCTCTGGCAGAGCTGGGAAGATGAAGAGAGAAGGACCGCAGAACCATTTGTATGCTGTCAGCTCTGAGAAAAGGAAAGGACACCCCGGATTTCCCCTGGGGAGCCGTAGCCATGCCTACTCCAGGCCTCCTGGCTGTGGCTGCCTGCCTCCCCGGCCTGCAGCTGGGGTGGACGCACTGTGGAGACGGGCCTGGAGCCGACAGGAAGGCCAAGCAGGGCCCCGCAGGACGCTCGCGCATCACCTACCTCCCTAAGCAACCAAGAATTATTCAGCGGATTGTATCTTGACTGAAAACTTGATTCTTAAAGTATTTCAACAATTTTGACAATGCTTTTCTGTTGGGTTTTAACTCAGAACCAATCTGCTGCAGTTGCTGAACGTGTCTGTTTACTTTGGGGAAGAACTCGGCCCTTACGTGTGAGAGGGGAGACCCTCCTTATATGCTCAGCGTGTCCGTGTGGACGTCACACAGGTCAAACCATCTCCCTGAGATTGACTCCTGTGGAAATAATCCATTAGCAGGAAGCCCAGGATTGTGCCGTCTGTCCTTGTCGTTAGCCACCTTCCAGTAGGCATTGCCTTTGAGAAAGAACACAGAGCTGTGTGCGTAGGAGTAGTAAGCTGACTCTATGTTTCTGACAGGATGGCTGTGTGAGGCTGTTGGTGGGAACGCTTCGGTCATCTTCTTTGGATAAGAATTAAGTACTTGATTTCTGTTGACATCAAATGCAAACACCTGCAAAGCAGATTAGACAGTAAGCCTGGCTTTTCTGAAAGTCACAGAGTTTCTTTTTTGGCGAGTTGACAGCAATGAGGTAAGTTAGTCTGGCTGTGCACCAGATCGTTGCTGGAAGTTCTTTACCATTTCCCGTGTGTGGTGGGTGGTCTGCAGCTGCCCTGCGGGTCTGCAGTAACTGAGTGGCCCCAGTTTGAGCAAAGTAGCAGCGGCTTTTCACTAAGAACCTGGTCATGTGGCGAGCTTCAGGTAGGGGCAACAGAAGCCACCCTAGGTTGGAAATGCCTGTACTCACCAAGGACTCCTTGAAGAAGTAAATTAGCTGCTTTCGTCGGTCATAAAAGGCAGTGTCCAGGGGACTTGGGATCCCAGGAAATCCTTCTGAAATCAGTCTGGGGTAGTGGTTTCCTTGCTTATCCTCTGTTTGGGCCTGATCCTTGTCGCTGTCATATCTCCAGTACTGATTTCCTGAGAGCCAATCAGAAAAGACTAATGGGGCTTAACAAACCCCATGAGGCTGAAGTAAGGACACCTTTCAGATTCAGTCCCAGCCACGCAGGTCATAATGTGTTTCACCTTGATTCCAAGAAAAATCAAGACTTCCAGAATCTGAGTGAAGCCTCCTCTCTAATTAATCACCCAGATCTTGAACTATTTCTAGATAGTTCAAGATGGACCCCAGCAGTTCATTTTTCTTACACATCACTGCTCCAGTTAGAAAGCTGGATGCCTTTCACAGTGCAGCCCAATCCGTGAACATCTTACTGGCTTTTGATGATCAAGAGCAACCACAAAAATCATGTGGTCTCATACCTTACACCCATATACAATAATGAACTCAAGTCGGGCAAAGGCCCACATGTAACATCTAAAACTATAAAGACAATCAGAGAAAAAATAGGGACAAACTTAGAGTCCTAACAGATGGCATAAATACACGATCAGACATAACTGAAAACACACAAACATCAGAATACAAACTAGATGACTGGGACCGCCTAAAAATTAGACATTTAAGTGCATCAAAAGGTTTCACCAAAAGAGTGAAAAGACAACCCACAGATAGCGGGGTGGCGATGACCTATCAGAGAAGAGGCTAATCTCTCAATTTTGTAGAATACTTCAATACCTCAACATCGAAAAGCAATCCAATTAAAAAACAGACACTTCAAAGAAGTGTTCAGGTAGCCAACAAACACATAAAGGAATGCACATACTCATTGGCCATTGTTGTTGTTGTTATGTGCCGTGGAGTCAGCCCCGACTCATAGCGACCCCTCCTTGGGTTTCCGAGGCAGTATCACTACGGAAGTAGGATTGCCCAACCATTAGAGAGATGCAAATCAAAGCAACAGGGAGATCACTCACCCCAGGGCTAACAGCAAAGTTCACCCAAAACAACAACAACTAGTGAGGCTGTGGAGAAACTGGAACCCTTACACACTGCTGGTGGGACTGCAGAATGGTGCAAGCAATGTGGAAAACAGTATGGCACCTCTTTAAAAAGCTGGAAATAGAAATACCATATGATCCAGCAATCCCATTACTAGGTATAGATGGTAGAGAACTAAGAACTGTGACATGAACAGATACAGGCACACCTGTGTTGATCACAGCACTATACACGACAGCAATGAGATGGAAACAACCTCAGTGCTCATCAGTGGACAACAGGATAAACCAAGTACAGTTCATACACAAAATGGCATACACGTACCATTAAAGAGCGATGTGGAATCTGTGAAACTGCACATGGATGAACCTAGACAATGTTGTGCTGAGTGAAAGGAGTCAATCGTTAAAGGGCAAATACTGTACGAGACACTATTGTATAAAGTCAGGAAAAGGGTTTCACACAAAAAGAAATTCTTGATGGCTACCAGGGTGGGGGGAGAAGGGAAGGCAAACCACTACCAGAGAGCTTAGACACCTGTTAGCTTGGGGGAAGGGGAAAGCAGTACACAATGAGGAGGTCAGCACAGTATGATCAGGGAATGGAAGGCACTGGGAAGGTAAATACTAATCCTACACAGTCCTGCAATGGCCGAGGACGGCAGCCATCTAGGAGTGGATCCCATCCTACACGGTCCTGCAACAGCCGAGGACGGCAGCTGTCTAGGAGTGGATCCAATTCCTACATGGTCCTGCAACGGCCGAGGACGGCAGCCATCTAGGAGTGGATCCAATTCCTACACGGTCCTGCAACAGCCGAGGACGGCAGCCGTCTAGGGCTGGATACACAGGCAGCCTCGCAAGCTGAATGGCGTGGGAAGGAAGATGGGACCGCTCCCACAAATAGGTATAGGTTTGACAGGGCATTTCTACATACGTATTTACATGTACTGCAAATAAATCCATGAATACACTAGCGCATACAGGGGGCAAAGTTAGGAAAACTTCTTAGCCATGACCAAAAATCCTGAGGGAGTCAGTGGGCCTGGGGGTACCATAGTCTCGGGAGACATCAAGATCAGTCGGTGCACGGACAGTCCATGGAAACACTGTTCTACATCCTAGTTTGGTGAGTAGCAGCCACATAAGGTGAATTACTTGCTTTCTCCCCACCCGGAGCAAAGAGTGAAGGAAACAAAAGACACGTGGAAATAATCAGACCAAAGGAACCTCCAAGACCCTGAGACCAGAGCTAGATGGTACCCAGCTACCAGTACCGATGTTCTGAAAGGGGTCACATTAGAAGACCCTGGATAGAGTGGAAGAAAAATGTGGAACAAAACTCAACATCATTAAAAGGACCAGGCTTACGGGTCACCCTTCAGACATAGAACTGAACTCACTCCTATAGCTCAATTTCTAGTCAAACAATGTTGTTGTTGTTATGTGCCATCGAGTTGGACCCGACTCATAGCGAGCCCTCCTTGGGTTTCCAAGGCAGTATCACTATGGAAGTAGATTGCCCAACCTTCCTTCTGAGGAATGGCTGGTGGGTTTGAACCACCAGCCTTCTGGTTAGCAGTCAAATGCCTTAGGCACTAATAGGTCTACAAGGTGAACAGTAACTCTAGGAAGGTGCATATGCCTTAGGACAATCAAGCACTGGAGGTCAAAAGGGCAGTATTCGCCCAAGGACAGTTCAGAAAGCAAGAAGGGTTAGGAGAGAAGGACTGGAAACGAGAAACACAGGGAGTAAGTGGGCGGAGTGATGTTATATTAAGGGTACTGCCGTCAGTGACGTGAAACAAGTGTGGATGAACTGCTGAATGGAAAACAGATTTGCTCTGTAACCTTCACTCAAAGCACAAGGAAGTTCTGAAAACAAAAAATGTGTCTTTTTTACCCAGGTATTTTAATTTTCTTCTTACCTGATACTCTAAAGACTCTTTCACATGTTAGTGGCTAGACGGGCTGCCCCGATTCATTTTCCTATCCTAGTCAGCGGGAAGGGAGCCCTGGTGGCACAGTGGTTAATCACTCTGCTAACCAAAGTCAGTGCTTCGAACCCACCAGCCACTCCGCAGGAGAAAGACGTGGCTGTCTGCTTCCATAGTGATTACAGCCTTGGAACCCTCTGGGGCAGTTCTGCTCTGCCCTCTAGGGGTGCTGCGTTGATAACAACTCCATGGCAGTGGGTTTGGTTAGTAGAAACTCTAACTTTATGGCAGAAGTGAGGATGCTTATTACTGGGTGGTCCCTGTACCTAGGGTTTCAGACTCATACATTCTGCAAATGAGGGAACTGGAGTAAAGATGGTTGACGGGACTTGCCCACATTCAGCCTCAATTGAGGCCGGGACACAACCAGCACCCTGGATTCCAACCAAGTGGACTTTTCTTCCCCCACTCTCCAGAGACCATGGCTTGTAACTGCCCCATTTCATCTTGAGGTCCAAATGCTCAATTCGAGCTCGAAACGAGGGGCTCATGCCGGGCTTTCCTCGTTAGTTCCTAACCCTGACGGTCTGGCCAGTGTCGGCACACAACAGTCAGTCCACTGAGCGCCAGCCTTTTGTGCTCACGACTCACAAACAGCCGAAGCAGTTACATTCCTCAGGGCACTATGCCCTGTGTCCAGCGAAGGGTTGCAACTCACTCTTAACTGGAATGTTTTTTGCATTTCAAGTACCCACAGCAAATTAAATTTCAAATGTTCTTAGAACTGGAATAAAACACAGCTGCCGCATAGCAATCACCCTCGAGGACCGAGTTCTCAAATTAAGATTCTCTGACCGTTGCCAACAGAAACCCTCCGGTTCAGGACTCCCTCAGACATGGAAAGACCGCTCTGGAAAAGCCCACCCCAGGGCAGTTTCTTTATGTAACTGAATGAAAAGAATTCTTCCCTTGTGACATTCGAAGGGAAATTAAGATCGCGTTTATACATGGGGTTCTTCCAGCAAGATCTGCATGTAAAGTTATTTGTGTTTGGATCTTATTAACTCTGGGAGTCATTTAAGGCACCGTGGTTCTCTCGCTGTACTTCAAGCAGAGTGGATGTGGGAAAGGAAGAGACGCAGTGAGGACAGTCGTGTCCGGTCAGACAAAGGCAGCACGCGGGTGTGAAGTGGTGTGTGAATGGCGGGGGCGGCAGCAAACGCCTAGGCCGGGCCCCTGCAGCCCACCACCGCTTCCTGTCCCCTTCCCTGCCCTCAGCTCTGCCTCTCCAGCAACGCAGACAGAGCCTCCCTGCTCACAGGCGGCCACCGTTTCTTGGCTACCTGCTGGGCAGCCAGCCCGACCTGGCATTTGAGGTTCTCCGTGGTCATGTCTGTCCAACCCCACCTCATACCACGAGTCCCCTGCCACACCTGGATTTCCCCAGCTGTCAGCCAGGCCTCTCTCACTCCCAGATCTCAGGCTTTGCTCCTGCTTCCTGTTTGTGACCTCCACACCCGTCCCATCCCCCGCCCCCACGGTTCCCTTACGCTTTTCTGGGCGCTCCTGACTCTACCCACCCTTCAAGCCCAGGTCAAGCCCTGACTCTGGGGCTCACACTGGACTCCAGGCAGCAGTGACACCTGTGGCCTCAGTCTACCCCGGAAAACATGCAGCTGCTGGTAGGGCGTCCATGGTACTTTTTTGCGCCTCTAGAACCAGATTAAAACTTTGGCAACCACCTCAGTGCCCAGCATCATTCATTCAGCATACGGTGCATCAAGTGCCTTCTTGAAA